ACATTTTCAACATAAAAGAAAATTCCGAAAGTAAAAAACTGATTCTTTTATTAAATTATATTGTTCGGATTAAATTTGCTAATATACAATTCCAAATCAAGAATTAGAAACAAAATATAAGTTAAATTAGTGACAAAACACTAGTGGCAAAAATTATGTAAAAAATAAATAATTACATTAAATATAAAAGTTGAATAATATTGATTGCAAGATGGAATAAAATAGAAGACAAAAAAAAAATTAAAAAAAAAATCAATGATAACATTTTATACCCAAACTTGGAGGGAAACAAATAATTTTATTGAATATTTTGATAATTTGTGCTCACACCAAGTAGCTGCCCCACTTTCTTTGCTGTTTCCCAAATTCAAATTAGTGACCGTTGGTTATCACTTGTGACAAAGTTTTTTATGTCAGTTTTTATTACTTTATAGCACATCAAAATGTGCCCAAGGTTTTGTTTTATTGATAATGGTGTCATATATATTTTGAGACACATCAAGAGTGAAATTAGTCTATACATATGTGCTTTTATCTACTAATTTTATTCTATCGTTTCGAAAAAAAAAAAATACATTTAATAAAGATTTAAGAGAAATACTCCAAACATTTCATCATCAAAATCATATATTGAAAGCAACTCCAATTTTAAGGGAGCTCATGAGACACTATGAACAAAACAATCCCAATAACAAAAGATTGACTAACAATGAATCAAACCTATCATTGTGAGGCCCTCACCACCTTAGGATTAGTCAGAAGCCCATACCCAAACCCGAACAGAGGATCATAGCACGAATCCCCCACATTCATCGGGAGCTGATCAACGGTCCTAAACCACGTTCGGGCCAGCCGGCCCGTAAAACCGTAATCCCCGAACAAAACATCAGCCACTCCTTGCCCTTCGGTCCCCGGCAGCCAAGCGGCCACTAAAGCATCGATCTTTTCCAGATAAGGCTCAATGAAAACGGGCCGGCCCGAAACAATCACCACCACACATTTAATGTGTTCGCATACGGTGGATATTGTGTTGTAACCGGGCTCGGTTATGGTTAGTGTCTTACTATCTCCGAAAGATTCAACGTAAGGAAGTTCACCTACGACAACTATGGCGTAGGTAAAGTTGTGGGGCTCGAGAAATTCTTTGTCGGGATTTTCAGTGTGGATAACTTCGGTCGAGGGGTCAACTGCATTTTTTACTGCTGTCAAAATCGTGGTTCCTGTGAAAGAGAGGATTAAGTAGAGAATAATAAAGGTGAAACAAAACAATATACAAGTTAGTATTAGGCAATGGCAATGGATTTTTGTGATCTTTGTGGCTTTTTACTAAGCAACTTGATTATTAAGGATTTGTGCTTTGTGGTCCATAAAATATTTATGCAAGGTCTCAATATCAGGAACATTGTGCATGTGATGGTAAAGTTTTTAGAACTTCAGAACATGTTATGCATCACTTTCACATGAAATAAGAGACTTTTAAAAGGTTTGGAAAGTTGGCAGTTTCTTGTGTTGTCTGCTCTAGAATAGGGTAAACGAGTCGAACAACTCACGAGCCGCTCGCGAGCGCTCGAGTCAATGCTTGAGTTGAGCTTGGTCAACTCGAGCTCCAGCAGTTCAATCGAGCGACCGAGCCGAGCCTCGAGCATCGTTTCAAGAGGCTCGTAAACTCGACGAGCTGCTTGATTTTTTTTATTTACATAAATACCCTATATATCGTTTAATTATCAATATTAGGACATCAGGGCCAAGATTATCAATGTAAATAAAGATAGTAATTTTATATTAAAATTCAACTGTTAAAATTTCAAGTCAAACTCGAGACATGTCAAGCATCGAGTCGAGCTCGAGCGTTCTTATTTTTTTCACGAGTCGAGTCGAGTCGCGCAGCATTTTACATGGCCCTTCGAGCTCGAGCAGTGAAAAAAAAAAAAAGAAATTCGTCGCTTCGACAAGGTCCATGCTTGACTCTACTCGGCAAGTTAAATTTGCCACCATTGACCTTACACTACATTATAGAAAAAGACACCTTTTCTTAAACAACGATAACACGTCTAGTTTTTTAGACGGATTTTCTTTTCATTTCTTTCAAGTTTTCTTATTTTCCCTCCCCAAGAAATGCTCTAGAATATGCAATTAAACTTCCTTATAGTAAAGAACTCACCACTTGTAATATTGCCACTCAGGCCTTTCCACTCGATGGTCCAACCACCACACTGTTTGCCGATATCGTCTGAATGAGTCCCAGCCACAAGCACTTTTTGTGCTGCTTTTGGTAAAGGTATCAATGGCCTATCCCTTTCTTTACCGTTCTTTAGTAGCACAAGTGATTTCTGAACAGCTTCTCTAGCCAATTCCCTGTGTTCCTATTGCAAAACACAACTTATTAAAAAAAATAAATAGAAGTAAAAAAAAAATAAAAAAAAATAAAAAATTTCAGAAATAGAGTGAGATGGAAGCTTGTTAAGATAGTGAACCTGGCTTCCTAGATGATGGGCTAGGCTGAGATCTGCATATGGGCTCTCGAAAAGGCCCATGACGAATTTGACCCTCAAAATCCTCTTCACTGCATCATTGATCCTGCTCATTGGAATCACTTTCTTCTTCACGAGTAAGGTCAAATCATCGATGAACTCCACATACTCCTCCGGGACCATAACCTTGCCACCACATTTTGTAAAGTCACAAATACTCCCTTAAGATGTTACAAACAAGAAACATTTGCCAAAAGGAATATTATTGCATTATCTATAATTAGACTAACTCTAGAGGGCTCTTTCATGATCAACCATTTTCATTTTCAGTATACATAAGCTTACTCACCATATCAATCCCAGCATGAATACCAGCTTGAACCGAATACGTATAGTTTGCACGAGATGGAGTGGTTATTCGGTCAATGCCCCACATATCAGATATCACAAATCCCTGAAGTCCAAATAAATAATTAAAAAAAAAAAAAACATGCTTATGGGTCTAAAAAATTATATTAATATTACATTCATTTTCCCACGGGCGAGAAATTTAAGAACGTGCAATGTAATGCAGAGCATATTTACTTTGAATTTGAGTGTCTTCTTTAGGTAGCCAGTAATGAGATCGTAATTCGCATGCATCTTCACGCCGTTCCAGCTCGAGTAGGACACCATTACTGTTGCAACACCCTTTCTGATCGAGTCCAGATAAGCCGGCATATGAATATTTAGCAGTCCATTCCAGTCTATAACCGTGTTATTCTCGTTTATACCGTCAATCGTACCACCATCCCCCACAAAATGCTTTGCACAACCGGCAACTTTCGTCCTTCCGCAGCCAAATAGAAGGACCAAAAGGAACGCATAAAAAAATTATCAGAATAAGACAGAGAAATAATCTCAGGTGACTGAAAACACTATGGAGTTCACTTTTCTTCTTTGAATAGCTAAAAATCTACTTATAGCTCATAATTTCAACGAAAATCAGAATATTCTTGCGATGAGAAACTGTTGATTATACGCACTTTGGACCCACAAACGGGTAACTTTTTGGATAATTTGAAGGAACATCTCCTTGTAAACCAGGAATGAGTTCTGTCATTGACTGCACAATTTTATGGTCTTCACTAAAGCTTTCATAACAACGGCCCCACCTAGGATCCCTGCACACCTGCCAAACGACACGAATATGAATTCATACAAGAAACTAAGAGATACAAAATATAACCAAGTACAAGATCAGCTTTAACTTCAATTTAATTATTTACCGCAATACAAGGTGCGAACGTGTAAGAAATTCCTGTTGCTCTAACTTCAAGAGCAGTTGCAACACCTATCCTTTTAACAAGATCTGGATCCCTATTCAGATTCAACAAAAATTCGACTAATTGATAATTTATTCCAGAGAGAAAAGGAAGCCACTCATAATACATAAACTTCTTGATGATGATAAACAATGATCATTGTTAAGAGGTGGGCTTGCCTAGTTACTCCAAGACCAACATTGTGCGGGAAAATGGTGGCATTGTACACATTGTTATGTCCATGAACAGCATCAATACCGTAAATCATAGGTATTCCCAGACGAGTTGAAAGTGCGCCCTTTTGGAACTCGTTCACCATATTCACCCAAGCCTCGATGGAAGCTTTCGGGCCCGGCACACTTCCTCCACCACTTACAACACTCCCTGTACATCAAATTTTTTCACTAAAATCAATTTCCCATTTCCACTCAGTTCGAAACAGCTAAAAGTAAACCGTATAAGGTGATTTTCTAACCAAGAAACGAGATCAATGCGGGAGGTTATGATCACTAGTTTTTTTTCCCCAAAGAAACGAAGAAAATCTCGAGAGGAAACCGTAGGATGCAAGAATTTGAGCTACTTTAACCTATAGCAATGGATTTTGAATCAACCCACAGTAATTCTGAAATCATTAGCCCCGAATTTCTCCAAATCCTTCATTCAAAATGCTACCTCAAAAATTTTTTCAAAGCAAAATAGTTCATCTTAATCTCCACAAATATTAATAACAATTCACCTACAAAATCCCCTGAAAGTCTTATTAACAAAAAAAAAAGAAAAAGAAAAAAGGAAATCGATATGCATACCAATAAAGTAACTCTTCATAACATCTGCAGATGCAACCTTGCGCTCGATCTGAGTCATCTGACCAATTTTTTCTTCGAGGGTCATTCTACTCATCAAATCCTTGATTCTCACTTTCAATGGCTGTTTTGGGTCTCTGTATTTCATGTACTCCGCACACACAGCCGCCGTACACAGCCACAGCGCCACCAGCGCCGCCACCACCAGCCTCCTCACTCCGATCATAGTCAGATGATTTTGTACCCAACAAACCCTAAAACCCATCAAAAAATTAAACGAAATTCGGCAAAAGAAGAACGAAAATGATATGATGCATTCAAATGTATCACCAAAAAAAAGAAAGAAATCTTGCTGTTAATTAGAAGAACAGAGGTTTCAAGCTACTGCAAAAATTGAATCAAAATCTCGGTTTAATTAACCTTACAATATTAATGCACTGAAATTAAAAGAGATTATCTTTCTTGCACTGAAAATCTATGGTTTCGAATTTTTTCGACTGAAAATGATAATGGCGCGCTTAAAAAGGCGACGTTTTTGCTCCTTGCCTTTTTGTATAGATTTGAATATGGATTAATTGCACAATCGCCCCTGACGTTTAGTCTAATTATAAAAGAACCCATTTGGTTTCTAATATTGCATGTAACTCGCGCAGGAGGGCAGAGTTAACTCACACGATCTCGTTCGCGAACCTTTGGATATTATATGTAGGGCTGCAAACGAGCCGAGCCGAGTCGAGAATTGGCCTTATCGAGCAGATTGAATTTTTTTTTTTGAGGTGCTCGAGCTCGAGCTCGAGCTCGTCGAGCTCGATTTTTGGTGCTCGAGCTCGAGCTCGATCAAAACATACAAGAGCTCGAGCTCGACTCGAGCTCGACTCGAATTCATAATGCTCGAGCTCGGCTCGAGTTCGGCTCGAATTTTTTCATGAAATTTTGTAAAATAACCATTAATTACATATATATACAAGGGTATTTTAGTAATTTCACATATCTCGATCCGCTCGCGAGCCGCTCGACAATGCAATATGTGGGCTCGAGCTCGACTCGAGTTCGTGCTCGAGCCGCTCGAGCTCGATTCGAGATCGGTCAAACTCGAGCTCGAGTCGAGCTTTGACTCGAGCGCTCGCGAGCGGCTCGCGAGCGGCTCGCGAGCTGCTCGACTCGTTTGCAACCCTAATTATATGTCAACGTTAACTTAATAAGAAGTTTAATTTATTCTTATGCATATGTATAGTGTTTTTAATAAAAATAAATCTGAAAATAATTCGAGCCCGAAAGAGTTCGAACGAATATAATTCGAGTTAATCAAACAATTGTACAAAAGTTTGTTTACTAAAATAATCGAAAATAAACAAAATCCGAACTTTCACATATAATTAAACGAACGAACTCGAACATATTTTTTTTGATTAAAAAATAAATGAACGAACACGAACAGTGTTCATACGTAATCGAACACGAGCTCAACTAAGCTAGGCTCATCGTTTTGATTACAACACTACAAGTTAAAGTCACTTCTGCAATTAGGCTAGAACTCAGGGATAGTTTCACAATTATCCCATTGACCTACAGTAACGGGTTTGCCAATTTCACACGGATTGTTTAGATTGTCTTGATCTAATTATTAAATAAGATTATGAATTATAAATTCTTAAATGTAAATTTTATCCATTATCTTATCCAATTGCATTCAAGTTGACGTGCAACTCTAATTTTAATCACAAGTTAATATGCTTATTTTTTATAATTTGATTTGATTGCCCTTAAAGAGAGTAGTTAACACGATTAAGTTCGTTTTCGATTTTGAAAAAAATAAATATATTAATAGAATCATTTATATCTCACTGGTCCCAAATTTATTTTCGATTTAAAAAAAAAAAAAAATTGGTAAGAAACTTAGAGGTTTCCAATTTTAGGAAAATGCTACGATCTCATTACGGAGTCGGAGTTTATAACCGTTGAATCATCATATAATCGTCGAAGATAGATGATCTAACGGTTACAAAACCCCAACAGAATGATTCTGTAACGAGACCGTAGCATCTCCTTCAATTTTATAATTATCCTATTAATCTACATTAATGGGTTTACCAAGTTCACACGGATTTCTCTTCATTTCTTGATCTAAAATTGCTATATATGATCAAATTGGTAAAAGTCACGAAAATTGCAAAATAATTAGAAATCGTGACATGTAAATTCTATCCATCTTTCTTTTTTTTTTTT